CTGCTTTCTTTAAGACTTAGGAACAAAAGAAGTGGAGATATGAGTGGAAGAGCAGGCATGCCTCTGATTTATTAGAGTCCGCATAAATGCATTATCCAAGCACTACACTGTTGAAAAATAGAAAAGTAAACTGGAGCATTGCAGGATGAATTATGAAAGTTGTTCAATAGAGGAAGCATTACTCACAGCTTCCTGGAGATGACAACACAGAGGAGGCCTTTGGGGGGCAAGTATAGTTAAAAGAAGAAGGGGGAAAAAAGAAAGAAAGAAGTGAAGTGTCAGCAGTTAATATATATAAGGTAAAAGACATCCCAACTTCCAAACCATTGAAAGGAAAACTCTTTTCTGATCACAAATACACTTTAGCATTGCCAATCAGGTTAGAGCTTCTGGAAATGGAGTGAGAAACATAGTGGGTTTGTTTTTTAAATTACATTTTACATGCATCTTCACTTTAGAGTTGCATCAATATTATTCAGTTAGCATTGATCATATTTTCCTGTAAGTTAATCTTTCAGATGTCAAAACATTCAACAAATTAAACGATTAGTAATTAAATGAAAGGTGCATAAGCAGCTGAGTTTCCATTAAAAAGCTTTATCTTTCCAATCCATAGAAGAATTGAAAATTCAGGAGTGCCATGCAGGAATGTACAATCAAAGCACTTCCAACAGATGGACATCCAGCTTCGGGGCCCACGGTGGCCTTTTCTCTGGGGAACTGTCTTCTGAGGATGAATTTTCAGGTGCAGAAGTTAATGAGATAGAAGATAGAAGGCAAGACTTTGGTAAACTAAAAGAGAGTTCCCAAGCTCACTGAAAGTCAGTCTGTTTTTTCAGAAAAGAGAGAAAAGAGGTCCTTATTTGATTGCAAAGGTAAACAGATTGTTTTCCTTTCATTTCATGAGACAAGAAAAGCTTTATATTCGACGGAAAAGGGATTTTAGATTAGTCTGAGCAACATTGGTGTCTTATTTATTTATTTATTTTTATTAATCAATTTTATATACCGCCACTCCCCGAAGGCTCAGAGTGGTTCACAGTATACACATGTAATACATAACATTAAAATCAAGGAAACATTCGATCAGCAAGGTTCAAATTCCAGCCTAAATAAATAAGTTTTACAAGCTCTACGAAAGGATAGTAAATCTCGGGGAGCTCGTGTCCCCGCTGGCAAGGCATTCCTCAGGTAAGGAGCCACCACCGTAAATGCTCTATGCCTAATAGACATCAGGTGAAAGGTCCTAAAATTGGGAACTTCAAGTAAAATCTGGTCGTATGAATGGAGTGATCTCTGGGGATGAGGCGGTCCCTCAGGGATTCCAGCCCCAAGCCATATAAGAACTTGAAGGTAAGAATCAGCACTTTGAAGGTAATCCGATACTCAATCGGCAACCAGTGCAGTTGCTGCAGAATTGGAGTGATATGACACCTCGCTGAGACCCCTGCGAGAAGCCGGGCAGCAGCATTTTGCACTACTTTAAGTTTCCGGATCACTGATAAAGGCAGGCCTATGTAGAGGGCGTTACAATAGTCCAATCTTGAGATGACTGTAGCCTGGATCACCATGGCCAGGTCATCCCTGGTCAGATAAGGAGCCAGTCACCTAGCCTGACGCAGATGGAAAAATGCGGCTCTGCTCACAGCGGAGGCCTGGGCCTCCATCATCAGAATAGGGTCTAAAAGGACTCCCAGACTCTTTACCAAAGATGACGGGCATAATGTCACGCCATCCAGGGCAGGCCCAGCTAACGGATCTCTGTTTTCGCTGGATTTACCCTCAACCTGCTGGCACGCAGGTTGAGGGTATCCAGTAACGGCCTCAAGGCATTGATGGAAATTATCGGGTACCCTCAGAATGAGTTGACTGTCATCAGCATATTGATAGCATTCAAGTCCAAAGCCTCGCACTAGCTGGGCATGTGGCCGCATATAGATGTTAAACAACAGAGGGGAAAGGATAGTCCCCTGAGGGACCCCACATTTAAGAGGGGCCCTCTTAGAGCCCGACCCTTCCCACTCCACACGTTGAACCCATTTTTGGAGGAAAGAGGACAGCCATTTAAGGACCATCCCCCTAATTCCAGCCATGACTAGGCGGTGAATCAAAAGATTGTGATCAACCATATCAAATGCTGCTGTAAGTTCCAGTAACACAAGCAGTGCTGACCCTCCTTGATCCATCTGGCAATGAAGCTGATCTATAGTGGAGACCAGCACGGTCTCCGTCCCATGCCCCTTATGGAAACCGGACTGTAAGGAATCTAATCCAGCTGTGTCTTGTAGGAACTGCTGCAGTTGCTCCGCTACCGCCTACTCAATCACCTTTCCCAGAAACGGAAGATTCGAAACCAGGCGGTAATTGGAGGGAACCAAGCGATCTAAGTCTGGTTTCTTCAGCAGTGGAGATACAACGGCCTCTTTCATGAACATCTTGTTTCCAAATGGATTTCTAGTTTCATCTTTCAAGTTTTGCCAGGTTCCTGTTCTGTGTATTGGATCTCCATGTTGTCTTGTTTTTCTGGATTTTTCATCCTTGGATCTTGTGTTTTTACCTTTCTACCTTGAAGTTCATGGACTATCTATTATATTTGGATTATACTGTTTTGGACTATACTGTTTTTACCATTTTTATTTCTTTTCTTATATTTGTCCTGCAATAAACTGCTTGCTGATTTTACTCTGATTAAGTACAGAGATGTTCCTGCTCTGGTATATAACAGCTCTGGAGGCTAGGATTGTGGCGCAGCTGGCTGAGTGTCAGCTGCATTAAGATCACTCTGACCAAAAGGTCATGAGTTCGAAGCCAGCCCTGGTTGGAGTGGGTTTCCAACCAATTGTGTAGCCTGTTGTCGACCTTTGCAACCCGAAAGACAGTTGCATCTGTCAAGTAGGAAAATTAGGTACCACCTTAAAGTGTGGGGAGGCTAAATTAACTAATTTATGAGGCCATAAAAAAGACTCCAGCAAAGCACTCCAGCAAAAAGCATGCAGGGAATGTGGAAGTTCTTCATCAGTGTTGCAGATGGACGATGAAAGCGACAGCTCCCCCTGGCGGCCAGAAAAAGTTAAATAGCCTCTGTGGATGTCTGTATATGTTGTATGTTAAAATTGGCATTGAATGTTTACCATATATGTGTACAATGTAATCCGCCCTGAGTCCCCTGCGGGGTGAGAAGGGTGGAATATAAATGCTGTAAATAAATAGGATTAATTTGGAGTAGCCTGCTATTTCTGTACTACCTTTTTGCCTACTCTGTGCTGCATTTCCCCTACTGCATTATCTGCTCAAGTTTCAACAGATCAAACACTGTTGTCCTTTTTAGAAAAGATTAAGGCAAAGAAGGTATTGAATAGTTCTCTCTTTTCTCCATCACTTGCTTGCATTTCAATATGCTACACTGCCTTTAATATTAATCATGTCATTAGACTTGTTTAATGGAAGAAATGATGCCTGATCTCTTTATTACTACATCCAAGAACAAGCAGATATGTTTGTCCATATTCTCTGGCAGTAACCTTAGTTAGTCCCAGAGAAACCATCATATGACAGAAGCAAGAAGCTATGCTTAAGAATATTCTAAGATTCAGAGAGAGGGTGGAGGTCACCAAGATATATTTGAAATTTTAAAGGCTTATTTCTTAATATTAGCACTTACAGAATGGTTTAAATATGTTACCCTGTTCATTTTAAATGTGTGCATTATGCTGTGTTTAGTTTGTTTCTCCAAAACATCCTTCAAGCCTGACAAATGTTTGAATTTGGAGACTGGTATTTGCAAGATCTGAAAGGTGTAAAAGTGCTGTCAAATATAGCAGAATTCTTTACCATCCCATCTGTAGACTGGAAAAGGATATTTCTAATTACAAGTAGCACTGGATCCTTCTATCAGCAATATTGAATGAAGGTGTAATCCCTTCTTCTGAATACTGCCCGCTTGAATCCCACACTGTGAGATGTCTGGAAAACACTTTGGAGGTGGTTTTATGGAGGTAGAGTAAGTACAAGAGAAGAAGGTTAGCAGGAGAGATCTCTTGAATTCAGACTATTGAAAAGTATTCAAAAAAGAAATGAATATCACATTTATATTTGGTCAAACTACATTACAAAGCTGAGAATAAATATTTGTTAATCATAAGTGATGAAAAATAACAATAAATTAGTTAACAATACTTGCCCTTTTACGAGGTTATAAAACCATCCGCTAAAGGTTTTTGTATGTATCTTAGGAATATGATTAGTCTTTTATTGCAATATATGTCTTGTCTGAATTTAGTTTCTTTAAAGAAACAAGTCTGTGTCTGCTCATAGTTGTGGATTGATTTATCACAGATATTACAGTGTGAACTTGGTAGTGCATGATAATATTAAAGATAACTTGTCCTTGCTTCCTGAAGATCAATTTACATAAAATATGTTTTACTCCATCCTTACCTCTTTCAGAGACATCTCTCACAAAGCCTTTATCACTTCTTCAGACTGGAAATCATTGATTGTTTTCATTTACGCTAACTAAAATTATTTGCCACTTTTTCAAAGAAGCAGACCAACTGAAAATATGAGCATGCACAATAGGAGTGAACAGATATGTCAATATGTGAATATTTAATCTTTATATATAAGAACGAATCAATTAAGCTATATTCCCTCGACTGCAGGGGAGAATACCTATTCCTTTGTGGTATTCTCTACATACTCAAATGTTTTGAAGTGTTACATAGGAATTATTCTGCAGAAAATTTCAGGCACAGATTTTGTTTTTATTTTTTACGCACACACGATTTTCTACGCAGAAAATCAATTTCCACAAGGAAAATCAATTTTTCTCCCCAGATCATTTATCCACAACATTTCAGAATACTGGATATCAATAACAACAACAACAGCAACAACAATGCTTTATTTATATCCCCTTCTCTCCCCTAGGAGAATTGGGGCAGCTTACAACAGAAAAAAAAACACAATTTAAAATATAAGCACACAACCACATCACAAAATTAAATCAAAACAACAATAAGACATTGGTTACAAACTCATAAATGTTCCTCTCCATGGAAATATTTAGTAAAAAGTGAAAGATTTATACGATCTGAAGAGAAACCAGAGTATCAATGGAAAAATGCATTAAACATTCTCATTGCTCTATTATTCTTATCCAATGGGGTTTCCTGACAGTTGGGAAATTCTTTTTTTTAATCTGAGAGCAATTACCTATGAATACTTTCCATCCATGGTAGTGAGTACATTCCACTCAGTGAATCTTAAACTCACTGGAACACAGAACCTTTGCAAGGTTGATAGCGTGATTAGGATGATCCACTCCAGGAGCCTGGTTGAGCCAGACAGATTCCTGATAACTCTTGGGGAGTTTCCTGTCACTTTGACAGATCTTTCTCTCAAAGCCTCAGTTGATCTCTGTAATGGGGAAGTGGCAGGGGAGAGGGACACTATTGATCATGAGCATCTTCTCTCATGGTGTGGAACCAAACGTGCTACCAGGCTTTCCAGTGAACTGGCAGTGATAACATTAATGAGATGAAGACTAGAGATAGCCTTGGCCACCTACACTGGGAAGTCGACAGGAAGGTTGTACCCCTGTTCATATGCAATAGTTTTTGATGTGATCCTCCATGGTATCCTTCTGGGCTATCTCGCTGGGATGTAACTTGGAAGCACTGTTTTACAGTGGCACATTCCTTCCTGGAAGATCAATACTAGAAGATAGTGCTGGAGACCTCTTTTGGCTTCTTGGCAATTGGTCTGTAGGATCCCTCAGGGCTCATCTCTGTTCGCTATGCTATTCAACGTCTGTATGAAACCACTTGAAGAGGTTTTCCAGAGGTTGTCCAGATACCAACAACAATATTTATCCTTTCCATCTAAATCCAAGAAAGCTTTTCTTCTCGAAACCATCATGTGGCATCAATAACGGATTGGATGTGGGCAAACAAATTAAAGTTCAATCCAGACAAGACAGAGGTATTCCTGGTCTGCTGAAAATCAGATCAGGGATTAGGGACACAGCCTGAGCTAGATGGGCTATGCTATCCCTGAAGACTCAGGATCTTAGTTTTGGTATACTCCTATATACAGTCTTGAACCCAGACTCAAGCTTCTGCAGCGGCCAGGAGTATCTTTGCACATTGAAAGCTTTTGAACTAATTGTGATCATTCCTGGAGATAGCTGATCTGTCCACATGTCTTGGATATATTCTATTTGAGTTCCCAGAATGTTCTCTATATGAGACTGCCTTTGAAAAGTGTTCTGGAACTTCAGTTGGTACAAAGAGTTGTAGCTTCACTGATTGCCACTTTGCTTCCAGGCACAATTCAAAGTTCTCATTATGACATACAAAACCTTATAGAGCTTAGATCAAGGCTATTTGAGAGACTTATCCCCCAACATAAACCTGCCTAAACCCTGACTCCACAGGAGATGCCCTTCTCTCATACTTGCCCTCTTCACACCTAAGTCTAGTAGGAACCTGAGAGAGTGTCTTCTCATTGGCTTCTCCTACTCTTTGAAGTTTCCTCCTTAGGGAGGATAGAAAGGTCTGTGAGACATGTCATTTAGGAAGAAATTGAAGTTGTGGTTCTGAGACCAGGCTTTTGGACAACAGACATAGATAGCACTTTGGACATAGAACTGGATATGAAATTGACTGGAATGATGATACGGCTATTAATACTATTTTTTACTGCTTTAATGAAGGTTTTACTTATTGTTCTAATTGTTATTATATTGCTCTGTTATATGTAGAAGCATCAAATTGCTGCCAAGTATAAGCCGTCCTAAGTCCCCCTTCGGGAGTTGAGAAGGACCAGGATAGAAATACCGGGGGGGAGGGGATAAATGTATTGTTTTAAATTGTTATTACTTATTATTTTAAACATCTTTTATGATATATAGTTTTAATATAGTGCTTAGTTTAATTCAGTTTCAGTATGGATTTTCTTATACTTTAAATTGTAATCTTTTAAATATATAAACCACCTTGAATCCCAGCTTGAAGAAAAGGGGGATACAGGGTGAGGCAGCATAACTTCCTTTTTTAAAAAAAACTTAATAAAACCCATTGTATGAATCAGAAATTTTTATATATATTTTTATAATGTAGGCGCATTCCTAAAGTTTTGTTTCACATAGTTTTGAAGATCAAATTAGGTAGGTGACGTCCCCCATTCTCCATTCTCTATACACTGAGTAAACCAATTTCTGGCATTTGTCATGACTCTTGCCAGCATAGCAAGTGTTATGTTGGCAATTTCTTCCTGGATAGAATCATAGAATCATAGAATCAAAGAGTTGGAAGAGACCTCATGGGCCATCCAGTCCAACCCCCTGCCAAGAAGCAGGAATATTGCATTCAAATCACCCCTGACAGATGGCAATCCAGCCTCTGTTTAAAAGCTTCCAAAGAAGGAGCCTCCACCACACTCCGTGGCAGAGAGTTCCACTGCTGAATGGCTCTCACAGTCAGGAAGTTGTTCCTCATGTTCAGATGGAATCTCCTTTCTTGTAGTTTGAAGCCATTGTTCCGCATCCTAGTCTCCAGGGATGTTGGTCTTCAAATCTTGTAGGGTCCTTGGACGGTTCACATAAACACGGGATTAAAAAAAAACCCATAGAAAAAAATCACAAGGGGCCAAATCTGGAGAGCGGGGCGGCCACTCCAAATCCTCTCAAAAAGTAGGGCTCAACAGCAAAAGCACACTTCTCACTGTTCCATTGCATGATGGCAACTGAACTGTGTCAGGACAAAACTCTATACTCCCGCCTCTCGAACGAGACCACTAACACTCTGCTACGTCTTCAACCAACTGAATGGTGCACATTTTAAAAAAGGAAGTTATGCTGCCTCGCCCTATATAAATAGAGAGGAGAAGGAGAAGAACTGAGTCATAGAAGTTAAAGTAGATCCAAACTGCTTTAATTCTACAGTTTCCAAACTATATTCTGTAGCCTATAATATAGCTTGGAAACTGTAAAATTAATGCAGTTTGAAACTATTTTAACGTATGTGATTAAATGCTATGGAATCAGAGGAGTTGTAGTTTTACAGGGTCTTAAGTCTTCTCTGTCAAACACTGCTGGTGCCTATATTCTAAGCTACACAATACAGCTTGGAAACTTTAAATTTTGGACCACAGCTTTCAGAATCCTGATTTCTGTAGTCCCAAAAGTCACTTTGCCTTTGCTATCATCTTCTGCTTTTTATTACTACTTAGCTGTGCTAGCCCACACAATCTCTATTTTGTGAGTACTTTATCTTGTTCTATAATATGTACCAAAATCTTCTTCCCTGATCCCCAATGGGGGATCTTTGCCACCCCCTCTCACTCCCCTGTATAAATTATTCTTTCATTGCCCTGGAGACATCATTACGAATTCAGTTCACTCTATGGTCCTGAGTCGAAAGGATGCCCAGAAGGATTATCTACTGCCTCAAAGGTTCAGGAATCCTTGTTTTCTTTCTGCCCTCTGTTCCACAAATTATTAAAAGAAGCAGTTAAAAATTTAAACAGCAGGACTTGGAGCGGAGAGCCACCCATCTCTGAAAATGCTGAAAGAATTCTAACAATGTTGAAGATGTATTTTGCATTTGAAAACCGCATTCTGCATTTCTCACAGTGCTTGTTTGTGTGTGCGTGGGAGTAAACGTGTGGCTGTATGTGTGAGGAACTGGAGTAATCAGGAGCCAAACAATTTTGTTGTAATACAGTGAATGCTGAGCCTCTTAAAATAATAACAGCAATGGATCATGATTCATAATATTGTCAGGCAGGAATTGCAAGTCATCTACATCTAAATTCTAAAGTAATACCATAGCTGAAAAACCCCAGAACCTCTAACAAGCATAACAGAGGATGGAATGTGGTTTGCATGACAAATCCATATTGCGGTGTATTTTTCTTTGGGATTCCAGCAATACTGTGGCAGCAGAAGGAGCATTCTCTCCTTTCTATAAATCTGCACTTTCACATCCTAGGTTGCATCATAATAGGAAAAGAAATTTGTTAGTCTCATTCTACCTCAGTTCACCATTTCACAAATCTTCCACGCTATTTCACACACTTCACAATTTCTCTTCATCAGGGCTGATTTGTTGGTTGTCACCGAGGTCTTTCAGCATCTTACCTCTGACTTTAATCTGTATTTCATTTTAATGTTTAGATGTAGGGCCAAGCCTTTCATAACCTCATCCTAAAAATCAGAACCAATTACACCGTATAAATGACAGATTTTCCCATGCTTTTGAAGGTTGTTGAAAATGTAAAGCCTCAAGCAAAGGGATATGAATCTACCCACTAGCATATCAATGCCATAAAATGAATTCTTGGATCAGACCATAGATTAGATTATCACGGTGTTTCATATATTACAGGTTTAGTGAAAATGTGGGCTGTGTTGAGATCTTGTCTTAATGAAGAGAGATAATCATAAGCTTGAAACACCCACTTCAAAGCCGCCTTTGAATAACTGATATCAAAGCCAAAGGTCTCTTCTCTAACAGGATGTACTTTGGCTATCCTAATGAAAAAGTTATCTCCTAAACCTAAAACAGGGCATCCCTCAAAATGTCAAAATTACCTCCCATTACCCAGGAAACATTTTGGCCAAAACCTGGAAAAATAGACCCAGTGTGCAGCAAAATGTCCCTAAGTTGGATGTAGTCTGTGGGACACACTTCCTTCATCCCTGATTTAAGGTGGTGGAAGCTAGAAGAGATTGTTGTAGCCATGTACCCTCAAGGCACATCCAACTTACAGCAACCCTATGACAGGATTTTCTTAGCCAGATTTTTTTCAGAGAAAGTTTGTTATTGCCTTCCTCTAACAGTAAAAGAGTGTGATTTGTTCAAGGTCACCCATACCTAAGCAAAAGCAGGGATTCTAATGATAATCATCCCAAAATGTAGTCCAGCTTCCACACTACACTACACTACACTGTCTCTTGGTTTCTGAACACTTCAAAATGAGGACCAATTTAGAATCCATGGAATAACCATGCATCATCTGATGGGCTCCATGTGTGGTCCTTTCTTAAGTGGTCAGAAACATGGCAAAACAGTGTGTGATGAAGTCAATGATCTCAGTAGACAAAGCTT